GTGCACAACCTCAATAGACTCACATATCTACAGTTCTCACAGATGTACATCTCACAGATGTGCATGGGCTAACAAAGAGATAACAATAAATATATATATTACAGGTAAAGTATATGCTTTTGTAATATGAATTGAATTATATGATTATATGAGGGTGTGTGTATTGTTTGGTTAAATGAATCATATGTGTCTTAAAAGAATAGACATACGAGTATATAATTATAAGACATAAATGATAAGAATATGGATAGTGGAATGAGGTTAGTAATGAAAATGGTGTGAGATATGTATATGTGTATATTACATGGTATGTAATGTTAAATTGTTTTGGTATAATATCATGAGATGATGTTTTCCTACATGTTTAAATAATTAGAGTTTTTTTATTAAATGTAATGCCTCACTAAGTCATAGACTTAGCGTGTGATTGTTTCACACATAGGTTACATAAGTGAGAAGATTAAAGAGCAATATGAAGCAAGACAGGTCAGTTCTCCTTACCGAAGGTCAGATCAGAAGAAAGGTGAATAATATGTACTTTAATATATAAATTTTTAGTTGGCATGTATTCAAAATAATATATTGTATAAGCTCTGAATAGTTCTGTAAACGTTTTGAATAAGTTATATGTTATAAAAATTTTAAATTACTCATTCTTTTATACAAGTAAATGTTTTGAAAAGTCAATGTGACACCTCGGACTCGGATCCGGATCGGATACGGGTTGGGGATGTTACAATTGCATCCCAGGAAAAATTCCAAAGCTGAACCGAAACACATCTTCAAGAGTTAGATAACCAACTAACCTGACTAGCTCAAACTATGGGAAAATTGGAATCAAAAGGAATACTACATTCTCAAATGAAGTTAAATCCAAGAGAGAATGTTAGTGCCATCACACTCCGAAGTGGAAAAGTTATCTCACTCGAAGTTCCAGCAGAAAAAGCCGCACAATAGAGAAAACAAGAGGACACGCCACATACAGAAATACAAAGTGCGTTTGATTCACATCCTTATCTTTCTTCTCATGAAATTACACTACCACCATTCCCATCAAGGTTGATGAAGCGTGATAAAAGAGCTGAAGAAAATGAGATCTTAGAGGTGTTCCAAAAAGTTCAAGTTTATCATACTTCTTCTTGAAATAATTCGACAAGTACCAAGGTATGCTCGATTTTTAAAAGAACTTTGCACTACAAAGAGGAAGTTAATGGGACACGAAAAGGTAAATTTGGGAGAACATGTCTCTGTAATTTTTCAACGAAAGCTCCCACCAAAGATGAAGGATCAAGGTATGTTCGCTATACCTTGCAAAATAGGTGATTTTAAAATTAAACGTGCAATGTGCGACTTAGGAGCTTCAATTAATGTTATGCCATTTTCTATGTATAAAATGATTACTAACGAGCCTTTGAAGAAAATAGGAATAACCATACAGTAGGCTGATCGATCTGTGATCTACCCAGTGGGAGTAATGAAAAATGTCTTAGTGACGGTCGATGTATTATTTTTTTCCTGCAGATTTCTATGTCATTGAAATGGAACATGATAGGTCAGATTCTTATTTCGATGTACTCTTAGTCCGACCCTTCCTAAGCACAGCACATACAAAGATCGATGTTAGAAGCGATATACTAACAATGGAATTTGATTGTGAGATTATTGAATTTGATGTTTACAAAGCAATGAAATGCCCTGATCATGTTGAAAGAATTAATTATGTTGATATTATAGATCTTTTAATGGATGAATATATTGAATCTAATTTTTCTTATGACCTTTTTAAGGACCCTGAACTTTGCCACGAAGAACAAGAAATGGAGTTTAAAAATATTAATTCAATCAATTCTGATTTATCTTCCTCTAAAACTAAAATTTTACCTTATGTTTTGCAGGCACCTAAGGTAGAATTGAAGCAATTACTGAAGCATTTGAAATATGCCTTTTTGGGCAAAAATGAAATTTTGCCAGTGATCATCACAAGTAAATTATCCGAAGGAGAATATGAAGCTTTGGTAGCAATGTTGTGCTCTCACAAAGAAGCCATATGATGGACCATTACTGACATTAAAGGATTAAGTCCCTCGACTTGCATGCACAAGATCAAAGTCGAAGAAGGAGCAAAGCCATCACAAGAAGAACAACACCAATTAAATCCACCGATGATGGAAGTAGTAAATAATGAAATTCAGAAACTCCTTGATGCTGAAGTAATCTATCCGATATCGTATAGTAATTGGGTAAGTCCGATTCATGTGGTTCCCAAGAAAACGGGAGTCAAAGTGGTCGAAAATCAAGAAGACGAGTTAGTGCCAACAAGAGTTCAAAATGGATAGCGAGTTTGTATTGATTATAGGAAGTTAAACTCTCTTACTCGAAAAGATCATTTTCCTCTTCGTTTTATAGATCAAATGATTGAAAAATTAGCTGGGAAAACTCATTATCGTTGTCTTGATGGATTTTTAGGTTTTTTCCAAATCCTACTGGCGCCAGAGGATTAAGAAAAAACAACTTTTACTTGTCCCTTCAATACATTTGCATATAGACGAATACCCTTTGGTCTTTGTAACACACCAACCACCTTCCAAAGATGCATGTTAAGTATATTTTCTGACTATACGGAGAAGGGCATCGAAGTCTTCATGGATGACTTCACTGTTTATGATAATTATTTTAATGAATGTCTTGATAATTTAACTAATATGCTTAGAATATAACCTTGTTTTAAACTATGAAAATGTCATTTTATGGTTGATGGATTAAATTTAGGTAATATTGTTTCCTCAAAAGGGATTGCGGTTGATAAAGCTAAAACAGATGTTATACGCTCACTTCCTTACCCCACAACTGTGAGGGAAATTCATTCTTTTCTTGGCCATGCAGGATTTTACTACAGGTTTATTAAGGACTTTTCGAAGATAGCACAATCTTTAAGCAATGTACTTGAAAATGATCAAGACTTTGACTTTAAATCAAAATGCAAGGAGTCTTTCGATTCATTAAAGGAAAAGCTTATTTAAGCTCCAAATATTCAACCACTAGATTGGAATTACCCCTTTGAACTTTTGTGTGACGCATCGAATACTAGCATTGGAGCTGTTCTCGGCCAGAAAATAGGGAAAGAGCTACATGTCATTGCCTATGCGTCCCGAACTTTGGACTCGACTCAGAAAAATTATTCCACTACGGAAAAAGAACTTTTTGCTTTAGAAAAATTTAGATCCTATTTTCTTGGTACTAAAATTACTATTTTCTCTGATCATGCAACTATAAGGTTTTTGATGAGCAAAAAGGAAGTAAAACCGAGGCTTATCCAATGGATCCTGCTTTTACATGAATTTAACTTGAAAATTAAAGACAAAAAGGGATACGAAAATCTGGTAGCAGATCACTTGAGTCGAATTCCCCTTTTCACATTCGAACCACCACTTAGAGAAGAATTTCCTAAAGAAAAATTAATGGTGACGTAAAGCATAACCCCATGGTTTGCGGACATGGTTAATTATTTGGCCACAAGTAAGTTACCATTAGATTTGTCGAGAGCTGAAATTAATCGAATTAAGCGGGAATCCCAATACTATATTTGGGACGATCCTTATTTATGGAAGCAGTGCTTGGATCAGGTAATTCGACAATGTATTGCTGAAAGTGAGGTAAATTCAATTTTACAATTTTTTCATTCTAACTCTTGCGGTGGTTATTTTAGGCCAAAATGTATAGCCCATAAAATTATTGAATGTGGTCTCTTTTGGCCTAACATCTTTCGAGACTCTTATATGTTTTGTAAAACTTGTGAAAGATTTGAATGTACATGTAATTTAAACCGTAGAAATGAAATGCCACTTAATTCTATACAAGTTTGTGAAATTTTTAATGTTTGGGGAATCGATTATATGAGTCCTTTCGTCATTTGGAAATACTTATATTATTTTAGATGTAGATTATGTTTCTAAATGGGTGGAAGCTAAGGCCACTCGGAATAATGATGCTAAAACTACAATTAATTTTTTTTTGAAAAATACTATTTTTCCATGTTTGACACGCCAAGGGCTATAATAAGTGACAGAGGAACACATTTCATAAACCGAGTGATCGAATCATTAATGAAGAAATTTTTAATAACTCAAAGAATTGCTACCACTTACAATCCACAAACAAATGGACAAGCATACGTATTAAATCGGGAAATTAAAATAATTCTTGAAAAAATTGTTAAACCGGACCGAAAGGATTGAAATTTAAAATTAACTGATGTACTTTGGGCATATCAAACCGCTTATAAAGGTCCCATTGGGATGTCACCATACTGACTTGTTTTAGGTAAACCATGCCATTTACCGATTGAGTTAGAACATTGGGCTTATTAGGCTGTTAAATATTGTAACATGGACATGGATGCAATTGGTGAAGCTCAGAAATTACACATTCAAGAACTTGAAGAAATCCGAAGAAATGCTTATGACAGTGCTCGGATATTTAAAGAAAAAATAAAAGAATTTCACGATAGTAGAATTTCTTTTAAAACTTTTTTTGTCGGTCAAAAGGTTTTATTATTTAACTCCAAATTTAAACTTTTTGCAGGAAAACTCAAACCAAAATAGCTCGGACTGTTTACAGTTACTCAAGTATTTCCTCACGGTGCTATTGAAATTGAAGATAACTCAGGAGTACGATTTAAAGTCAATGGTCAAATATTGAAGTCGTATTATAAAAATACTCTGGTTGGTCTAATCGAAGAAATCAATTTAGAGGAACACACACTTTGAAAAATCAGGTCGTTAAGCTAACGAAGTTAAACAAAAACGCTTGATGAGAAGCAATCCATTTCGTTATTTTTTTGTTTTATTTTCAGTGAATTTTATTTCATTATATTTATTTTATTTTCAGTAATTTTATTTTATTTTTCTCTAAACAGATCCAAATTCTAATCGAATATTTAACGAAAAAACAATACAAGTATTACCATCAGCTTTTCACTTTTCAATTTGGGGAAAACAAACATGAAAGTGATTAATTGCATTCTCAATTTGTTTCTCGTTTTTAAAGTAGTTTCATTAGGATTTGCAGATGTGGTTCCGGTGCCATCATTTGAAATTAGTAAAGAGTCAATTTTGAAGCATTTGTCATTGGACAACATCACTTTGGATCTTCCAGCTTTATACGTATTTGGAGACAATTTTGTTGATGCAGGAAATAATAATTATCTCAATTTCCCTATAATTCAAAGTAATTTTTCTCCGTATGGAATAGATTTTGATGGAAAACCCACCGGTCGTTACACCAATGGTAGAACAGTAGCAGATTTCATTGGTAAGAAGTTAATTAGTCCACAATTTTACTCTAATATGAAAATCTTAATACCTTCATTTCAATAAAAAATTACAGTAAACTTTTAACATTAATTATTAATACTATAATTTAAAGTCAGAAGTTTATTTTATTTTTATGTGAAAGAGTAACTAATTAATGTTCTACCATTTATTTTATGGTGCAGCTCAATTTACTGGTTTGCCATTTCCTCCAGTACTAAGTTTGTCTAAAGATGTTAAGAGAGTTCCTCAAACAGGTTTAAATTATGCTACTGGTTTCACCGGCATCTGTAGACTATATGACAAACCATTCGTAAGACTAAGATATCTTTGCTTAACTTGTTTACCTGGATAATGATTATTATTTTGCTTAACTTGCGCCATTTTGCGCCAACTTTTCCTATTTTCTTTTAGAATTTCATTTTTCAATTATGCTAAGTATGACATTAGTCATGCTTAGCTAATTTTCTTTCAAGCCGAAGACTAAAGCGAAGGCTCAATTCCAAACGTGAAAATTGTAAGGTACTTAAATCGCTTCGGTTTTTTCTCTCTATTTTCTGAGCTTACTTTTCAAATCAAAACGATTTCGACATTGGTCTAGATATTGTTATGGCTAATGTTTGAAGAAGGATTTGCTTAAGAAGCATATTCGACTTCCCGAGAACACACTTAGCAAAATTGTTTGCTAAGAGGAAACTGAGATCAAATTAGTTATTGTTGAAACGACATAATCCAAGTTGGCAGCAAAGAATTGTTCTTGTAAGCTTACGTGAATCTTGAAGTAAAAATTTGTTTCGATGATTCAAGGAATTAGAGGCAAAGATAAAGTCTAAGGCTGATTCCACAATAAGTTTTCTTAATTCAAATTTAGTTATTTTATTTATTTGTTTATTTAATTTTTATTTTATTATACTTCTTTAAATAATTTAAAATCCTCTTTTCTATATTTATTAATATTTATTATTTTATTATTTTTCCTTTTTTAAATTATAATTATTTATTTTATTGTATTTTTTCAACTTTATCTGGAATTCTATATTTTCCTAAAATCAAGAAACAATTTTACTAAATCACAAAAACCATAGTCCCTGTTGATTGACCTTGATTCTCTATACTACATTTTCCTTTCTATTTAATTAAGAAGCCGAAATTATTTTGATAACGAAACGACGGTTATCAAATTGGCGTCGTTGTCGGGACTAACCGCAAGTACTGGTTTATTTTTCTAGTTTTTGATTTATGACCAGAAGAAACCCAGGTAAATTAGTAGATCTAGACCCGGAGATTGAAGCACGAGCACGAAGAATCCACGCACAAACGCTTTGAGAAAAGAGAAAAAGACAAGAAGAACAAGAGCATAGTTCAGAGCAAAATCAAATCCAGAGACTGAAGCAGATGCATACAACATTCTGATGGTAGAAGAAGAACAAACAATCCGAGAATTAGCCAGAGCTCTTGTCACTCAGATGACATTACGCATTAATTTTCCTAGTGGCGGGACTCCGTTTCAATCAAATACATGACTTATTCATCTTTTTCCCATTTTCCACGGCTTTCCCACTGAAGATCCGTACAAACACTTATTGGAATTCCACATGGTTTACACTAGTATGAAACCACAAGGAGTTACCGAGAATCAAATTAAATTGAGAGCTTTCCCTTTCTCTTTAGCCGACTTGGCTAAAGATTGGTTATTTTATTTACCTCCAAATTCAGTTAATTCATGGGCTGACATGAATCGATTTTTCTTGGCAGGTTCTTTCCAACGGCTAAAGCAAGCGAGTTACGAAGGATCATTCTTTCTATTCAGCAAAAGAGCGAAGAAAGTCTTTATGACTATTGGGAGCGATTTAAAAAACTTTGTACACGTTGTCCGCGACACGGATTAAGTGAGAAAACGTTAATTCAATACTTTTATGAAGTCCTTTTACCAATGGAGATGAAAATGGTAGATACGCCAATAGAGGAACATTAGTTAACATGACCCCAACAAAAGCAAGGGAATTGATTTCAACCATGACAACCAACTCTCAATAGTTTTCAAGTGAACCCAACCGACGGTTTCACGAGATAAGTACTTTTCCATTGAGAATAAGTTAGACAAATTAACTGAAATAGTTAATTCACTTGTTGTAGGAAAATTCGAAGCAACAAGAGCTTGTGAGATATGCACAAAGCTAGGCCATCCGATGGATTGCTGCCCGCTGATACAAGAAGGAGGAAATGCAGAAATCAATGTCATAGGGAACTTCCCAGGTCCTCTACAAAGTTAATACAACCCATACAACAATACTTATAATCCAGAATGGCGAGACCATTCAAACTTCAACTATGCGGCAAATCAAAGACCAACTTAGCAACCAAGACCTCCTCCTCAACAACAAACACAAAACCATCATTGGAGGAACTCATAAGAAAGTTAGCAATCTCACAAAAAAGTTCATTGCATCCCAGGAAAAATTCTAAAGTCGAACCGAAACACATATTTAAGAGTTAGATAACCAAGTAACACGACTGCTCAAACTATGGGAAAATTGGAATCAGAAGGAAGACTACCTTCTCAAAAGGAGTTAAATTCGAGAGAGAATGTTAGTGCCATCACACTCCGAAGTGGAAAAGTTATCTCACTCGAAGTTCCAGCAGAAAAAACCGCACAATAGAAAAAACAAGAGGACACGCCATATCCAAAAATACAAGGTGCATTTGACTCACATCCTTATATTTCTTCTCATGAAATCACGCCACCACTATTCTATCAAGGTTGATGAAGCGTGATAAAAGAGCTGAAGAAAAAGAGATCTTAGAGGTGTTCCAAAACGTTCAAGTCAGCATACCTATTCTTTAAGTAATTGACAAGTACCAATGTATCCTCTAGTTTCAAAAGAACTTTGCACTACAAAGAGGAAATTAATGGGTCACGAAAAGGTAAATTTGGGAGAACATGTCTCTGTAATTTTTGAACGAAAGCTCCCACCAAAGATGAAAGATCAAGGTATGTTCACTATACCTTGCAAAATAGGTGATTTTAAAATTAAATGTGCAATGTACGATTTAGGAGCTTCAATTAATGTTATGTATTTTTTTATATATAAAATGATTACTAACGAGCCTTTAAAGAAAACATGAATAACCATACTGTTGGCTGATCGATCTGTGATATACCCAATGGGAGTAATGGAAAATGTCTTAGTGAAGGTCGATGTATTATTTTTCCTGCAGATTTCTATGTCACTGACATGGAACATGATATGTCAAATTCTTATTTCGATGTACTCTTAGTCCGACCCTTCCTAAGCACAGCACATACAAAGATCGATGTTAGAAGCGTATACTAACAATGGAATTTGATGGTGAGATCGTTGAATTTGATATTTACAAAGCAATGAAATGCTTTGATCATGTTGAAAAATTAATTATGTTGATATTATAGATCTTTTAATGGATGAGTATATTGAATCTAATTTTTCTTATGATCTTTTTAAGGATCCTGAACTTTTCCACGAAGAAGAAGAAATAGAGTTTAAAAATATTAATTCAATCAATTCTAATTTATCTTTCTCTTTTTTTAAAACTAACATTTTACCTTCTGTTTTGCAGTCACCCGAGGTAGAATTGAAGCAATTACCGGAGCATTTGAAATATTCATTTTTGGGCAAAAATGAAACTTTGCCAGTGATCATCATAAGTAAATTATTCGAAGGTGAATATGAAGCTTTGGTAGTAGTGTTGCGCTCTCACAAAGAATCCATAGGATGGGCATTGCTGACATTAAAGGATTAAGTCCCTCGACTTGCATGCACAAGATCAAAGTCAAAGAAGGAGCAAAGCCATCACGAGAATGACAACACCAATTAAATCCACCGATGATGGAAGTAGTAAATAAAGAAATTCAGAAACTCCTTGATGATGATGTAATCTATCCGATATTAGATATTAATTAGGTAAGTCCGATTCATGTGGTTCCTAAGAAAACAATAATCACAATGGTCGAAAATCAAGAAGGCGAGTTACTGCCAACAAGAGTTCAAAATGGATAGCGAGTTAGTATTGATTATAGGAAGCATAACTCTCTCACTCTAAAAGATAATTTTCCTCTTCCTTTTATATATCAAATGATTGAAAGATTAGCTGGAAAACTCATTATCGTTGCCTTGATGGTTTTTTCAAGTCTTTTCCAAATCCAGTGGCGCCAGAGGATCAAGAAAAAATAACTTTTACTTGTCCCTTCGATACATTTACATATAGACGAATGCCCTTTGGTCTTTGTAACACACCGACCACCTTTCAAAGATGCATGTTAAGTATATTTTCTGACTATGTGAAGAAGGGCATCGAAGTCTTTATGGATGACTTCACGGTTTATGGTAATTCTTTTAATGAATGCCTTGATAATTTAACTAATGTGCTTAAAAGATGCTTAGAATATAACCTTGTTTTAAACTATGAAAATGTCATTTTATGGTTGATAAAAGGTTAATTTTAGGTCATATTGTTTCCTCAAGAAGGACTGCAGTTGATAAAGCTAAAACAGATGTTATACGCTTACTTCCTTACCCCACAACTGTGAGGGAAATTCGTTCTTTTCTTGGCCATGCAGGATTTTACCACATGTTTATTAAGGACTTTTCGAAGATTGCACAACCTTTATGCAATCTACTTCAAAATGGTCAATACTTTGACTTTAATTTAAAATGCAATGAGTCTTTCGATTCATTAAAGGAAAAGCTTATTTCAGCTCTAATTGTTCAACCGCTAGATTGGAATTACCCCTTTGAACTTATGTGTGACTCATCGAATACTAGCATTGGAGCTGTTATAGGCCAGAAAATAGGGAAAAAGCCACATGTCATAGCTATGCGTCCCGAACTTTGGACTTGACTAAGAAAAAATATTCCACTACCGAAAAAGAACTTTTTACTATAATTTTTGCTTTAGAAAAATTTAGATCCTATTTTCTAGGCACTAAAATTACTGTTTTCTCTGATCATGCAACTATAAGGTATTTGATGAGCAAAAAAGAAGTAAAACCGAGTCTTATCCGATGGATCTCGCTTTTATAGGAATTTAACTTGGAAATTAAAGACAAAATGGGATGTGAAAATCTTGTAGCATATCACTTGAGCCGAATTCCCCTTTCCACATCTGAACCACCACTTAAAGAAGAATTTCCTGAAGAAAAATTGATGGTGGTGTAAAGCATAACCCCAAGGTTTGCGAACATGGTTAATTATTTGGCCACAAGTAAGTTACTATTAGATTTACCGAGAGCTGAAATCAATCAAATTAAGCGGGAATCCCAATACTATATTTGGGACGATCCTTATTTATGGAAGCAGTGCTTGGATCAGGTAATTCGATGATGTATTGCAGAAAGTGAGGTAAATTCAATTTTACAATTTTTTTATTCTAACTCTTGCGGTGGTCATTTTATGTAACCTCCTCAAACCGATTAGGTTAACCTGATCCGATCTGGAGTGTCACATTAGGGCCACCGGAGTGACCCACTATAAAAATAGCAGAAAATTTAAAACTTTTATTAAAACATGTAAATTATAAAATAATTTATCATTATGCAAAAATAAAACAGATTTTCATACTCAGATATAAAACAAAATACAATTACATGCCCCTAATCACATGTACCATACTCTGATAACAACATCGAAAGAACTCCTTTACTGAAGTCGATAGCTGCACTGTTACAATTCTTTTAACCTGCAATATTGAGTAATAGAGTGAGCTTCGGAAAGCTCAGTAATACAGAACTACCAGATGATGCTGAAGAATGTGCAGATACAAATAAACATATATTTCTTTATTAGTTCAGATATTTACATATTGTTAGGCTGAGCTGAGATCCCATTGATATCTCAGGTAGTAACAGATAGTATTCATTTCAGATGGAAATATTTCTGATGTCTAGGTTCAAGAGATCAGAATAGGTTATCTAGTGTGTTCCCGTAAAACCAGTGAAAAAATACAAATAAAATATTTCAGTAAAATCGGTTTATGTAACATGTTTTTTAAAACATGAACACTACCCCCATCCGTCAAGTCCAATATGTGTAGGTTCCCCAGAACCGCACACCCATCGTCAAGTCCAGTAAGGCCCTGAGCACAAAGTTAAGGAGCCGGTAAGTAAGGCCCTAAGCACAAAGTCGAGGAGCCTCTAGGTATATTTCCCCCAATATTACCCCCAAATAAAACATGTTCCATCCGTAAACGGATATATCAAAAAATAAAAAAATAATCAAGTTCAAGTATCAGATCAAAATCCAGGTCAAGTATCCGATCAAAATCCAGGTCAGGAATTATAACAGAAATCAAATAGGAAATTAAGTAAAATATTCAGGTGATTAGGGAACACACCAGAGTTTACAGAAATTATTCAGAGGTACTGGATAATCTTAGATGGAAGAGAAACATGAATCTTCAGTATACCGATAGGATAACGGAATTTAGAATCATTATTGGAAGAGTTCAATAACTGACAGAATCATCAATTATTCAGAATGAGACTTGAGCTGATAAGGAAGAAATGAAGGTTTCAGACATTTACAGCCTGTGTCAATCTATCGGATTATCGAAATAACTCAAGCTGAACAACTCCTAGAACTAATGCCTATTGACCGGTTCATTCTTTGTCCTTCAGGTATTCACTCTTTAATAAGAACAATTAATGTCCATAAATCATCTTTTGAGTCATCATTGAATGGGTCTTCCAAGGGTCTTTATTTCATTTTCACGCTTTAACGATATCATAAAATACTGACTTACTTGATTTTTCTTTCATAACCCATAGTAATTGTACACTATGTAAACTCATCAGAGTTTCCAGACTTATCCAAATCACTTACTTAATCCTCAGTCATTAAGGTTACTTATCTCATTTAGTAGTCAAGTTCATTCTAGTTACTTTGGGGTTTTCCAGAGTAATTCAGACATTTTTGAATTTCGGATACATATTGTACTTCAGTTCAGTTTAATTTGGTCTTCGTGGTTGATTTGTCTAACGGATATCCAATTCTTAGTATCGAATGCGATCTAGAGTTGAGCTGAGCTGAGTACTTCTAAAAATTATCATCGAGCCAAACTTGAGAATATGAACACGTATTCAAGTGACTTCTATGTCGTTCAGGTACTGATATAACACTAGCATTGGTTGCTCGACTTAATATGTGATCCATAACTTTTAAGAGCAGCATCACATCCATGTTTATTTAGATTCCTTAATTAATCCAAGACATTTACTTATTCTAAGCTATAAGGATATTTTGGTCATTTTGGTGCTCAATTTTATTCTATTCTTTCCAGAGCTCGAGGATATCCAATCATTCCTGAGCTTGGTGATATTCTTGGGTCATTTGTATTCTAGGCGTATTCTGGTCATTTTATAGATCCAGTGCATTACAATCATTTCCTTCCGTCCAATCTTATTATCGAATTTAAACATATAATTTATTTCATTCATTTCATACAATTCTGTCAAAAGAGCACTATCGATAAATTATTCTTAACTCAGAGATTTTCAAGTCGATTGCCTTCTCAGAAGTTACAATTAGGTTATCATGAATTTTCTATACAAAGACAAAATCTTAACATTTAAATCCATAATTTATCGAGTTAAAATACAAATCCTCAAAGTATTTTCTCATTCAGGGTCAACTTGGACTAATTTTACCTCTCAAGGACATTTTTCGTAATTTCCTAATCGAAGTATTCTCATAATTTATCATCCAAGTATCTTTAATGAGATAAATTATAATTTACATATTCAGGACTGATTCCTTTATCACTTAATCACAAGACTTGTAATTCAATAGAATCTTAACTAATTTATCACTTAAACAATATTCGGTTCGAATCCATCCATAATCAAACAGGCATAATAGATCAATCATATGCATTCATGCATTTATCCATTATCAACATGTTCCATAAAGATAAAGAGGTAGTAATGTATTACCTCGATTTTTGTGCCATTCTGATCGACCATTTAAATTCCATTCGAACATCCTCGATCTTGAAATCAACTTCCAATAATTCCTTTGATGCATATCAACTGAAATTTCATTTAAAACAGAGTTTAATTACGAAAAACGGATCGAATCGGTGATAAATAAGTGAAAACCAGCTTACCAGGTTCGAATTTGTTGAAACGGACCCAAAAAAAAATTCAGAACGTCGAAAAACATAAAATATAACTTTTCAAAAATTTTGACTTGACTTTTTGGTCAAAGTCAACAGTCAACGAGTCAGGTCAACAGATTGGGTCAAAACTGGGTCAAACTGACCCAACAGTTACGGAAGCTCCCCCACTCGTAGGGCGGTGCGTGGGGGCGTGTGAACAGTGCTATGGCGTCAGAAAAATTCCTGAAAATTTTCTAAAAATTATTTGAAGACATTTTGAGACACTTACCAAGCTCGGTTCAATATTTTGAACGGTGGAGAACTCGATTTCGAAACGTCGAAAACTTTGACTTTCTCACCCCTCCACATTTGCTACAACGGAGACACAGAGGACACCTGTGGACTCGAAATGATGCAAGGAACACGATGGTGCGGGAGGTGTTGAAAATGAATGGCCGGATCGATGAAAAACCAACGAAAATTGAATTAAAACCGATGATACTTCCGATTGAAATTAACGACAAACGGTGTCGATTCACGACAAGAGGGTTGAGGGGATTTGTTCATCAGTCGACAACGAACACGATGGTGGTTTCGGTTTGTCGAACGAAGGTCGAACAACGAGTAGATCGGAGATCAAAGTTGTTGAC